TAAACTAATAACAAAACATACTTACAGTCGCTGATTCAGAAGCGCCAGATTGTCATAGCAAAGTTGGAATTTACCCTTTTTTTTAATTTTAGAAATAGCCTTTGTGCACAGCCAACCTTGTACTCTTCGAACATCTGGGTTGTGCTATTCTGTTGTAAATAAATCTTAACCAATGATTCCTAATTGCATCTACTTCCAGAAGGCCAAAAAAAGTGCTTTTGCTTTCGCACAGAAAAACAGCGTCTCCCTGACATGGCTGCATCAACACTACTGCGGTTCCTGAAACCACGCCTTCTTTCTTTGGAAAACTTGAAATCGCATCATATGACCCCTTTAAATTAACTCCTCTCTCTTTCCTTCTCTCTTTCTCCGTTCTCTGTCTTTCTGCATGAATGACAGATGTTTATTTGACTCTCACTCTCTTGTTTAAATTCAAAGGGACTGTATCTAATTAGACTCTGCCATTGTCAAAATTATTAAATTATTAAATTAGTCTTCTTTTTCCTGGCTACATTTCAAAAGAAATATCCAGGGCCATGAGAGAACAAAATCAAACATTTTACACAAAACAGAAAAGGGAATATATATATATATCTCCAGTAACCCATATTCCTCTCTTTTTCTTAAGAGAATTGTCACTGCTACACTTAGTAAAGACCGGATTTGTGCATTTGTGAAATTGTTTGTGAATAAAATAAAAGTGCATATCTGTATAAAAATTATGATGAAGTAGCACACTCTGTCCCTTTGAAAATTGCCCATTGTCTTATCAGAATTGTCTAATTCAGAACTGAAGTGGATTTAAAGCAAACTTCTGCAACACATCCTGCAATCACTGAAAATGTGAACTAAGTAGCTCTCTTTCCTGAATTTACTGGTTTAGTTTAAAATTTACAGCATGCTTTTGAAATAGTTTAGTCTACCATTTCCAACACCCTTCCTTTTGAACTACCACTTTTTGTAGCCATGCATAATTCAGAGGGCATTTTTTTGCTGTCATTATTTCACGCTGCATTCATTAAGACACGATTATAAAGGGTTTTAATGAAAGAGATGATTAAAGGCAAACTTTGACCAGACTTATTAGTTTCTGATGGAACACAAACACTCATTGAACAGAAAAGAGAGTGTGACAATTACAGCTTATTATTTTAGGACGATGATACGGCTTGAAGCATTTACTAAAATCACTCCCATAATCATTTTATAAAGACTTACTTTTTCTTTCCTTCTCTCATCCTCTCTCTTAAAGTTTCATTACACATGCTCTTTGGAGGATTGGAGTAATGTTATGTTAACTCCCTGATCAAGAGGTAATTGTATTGTGACCAACAGATCAGATTGTGAAAACAATAACTGCTTCTGTTCTTCTGCCACTTAAAAAGTCATTAGTGAAGCCAAGAAGAAAAAACTTTCACTGATTAACAGTATAACATCATTGACCATCCTCCAAACATCTCTCGGTCAATAACATTCCTTCCAAACACTCACACACACACATTAAAAATGCAATTTATACATATACTTGAATACAACACGAGTACGATTTTAATTTAAGTATTAATATATATATATATATATATATATTGGGTGGCATGAACTCAGAAACTGTCCTGATATCATAATTAATTTTCATTATTATTATTATTATTTTAATTAAAAT